GAGAGGCAGAGATACAGGCAGAGGGAGAAGCAGGCTCCATGCAGGGAGCCCGACGTGGGACTCGATCCTGGGACCCCGGGATCACGCCCTGAGCCAAATGCTCAACCACTGAGCCACCCAGGTGTTCCCTAAATAAAATTCTTACTCCCCTAAGGAGGAAAGTAGTGAGAGTGAAGTTTCCTCCAAAGTGTGTACAGTCTCTTTAAGAACGGCCTTAATTAGCATAGGCTTGACCTCCTGAGTCAAGTTCAAGTTCCAGTGGATTCCCTTTCAGCACACCGGGCCATTCCAGACTGGAATCCAGAGGAAGAGTTGAGGAGGCTTTTCCCAAACTTGCCCTGGAGCACCAGATAGAGGAAAGTGTGACCCAAACTGCTTCAGCCCAACACCCCCTGGCCAGATGCAAGTGCTGATCTGGAGAAAGAATGGTTCACCTTATCTTTACGCCTTTATTTAAACATCCGCCTTTTCAATCCTCATTAGCCTGTTCCTTCCTACTATTTGTGCTATTTCTGGACTGGCTGAAGCCATTAATCAAGCTGCTTTTTTTGTTTGTTTTTCTCTAAATCAGGGATGGGCAAACTGCAGTCTGCAGGCCACATCCGGCCCACCACCTGTTTTTGTAAATAAAGCTTTATTGTAACACAGCCACACCCATTTATTTGTATTTATGTACAGCTTCTCCCAAGGTATATGAACACAGAGCTGAGGGGTGGCCACAGAGGCCATATGGCCCAGAAAGCCTAAAATATTTACTCTGTGGTCCTTTACAGAAAGAGTTTGGTAGAACCCTGCCCTAGATCGTGGAGAATTCAGTCCCCTGAGATTGGACTCCCTCAAGGAAGTGACATCCCCACTTCAAAACAGTCAAAACGTCTACACCATTCTGTCTGAGACTTGCCCAGCCACTAGATCTCTTCAGGTGCTCCACATGATAATTACAGAAAACTTCACAAATACAGGTGAGCAAAAATGTTTTTAATAATCCTAAATCCGACCCCCAAGTAGCATTCCAATGTACACCAACCTGGGCATTTCCAGTGTAGATGGGAACTTTCTGTCAAAACTAAAATGGAATCAGACCTGCCATTTAGGAACTTGCTTTTTTTTTTTTTTAATTTCAAAACCTATCATAAACATCTTTCACGTCTATAACTGTACAATCTACACAGCCCTTGCCGATGCTTCTGGAGCATTCCATTTTGTGGGTATCTCATCATCAGATAATCCATCCCCCACTACAGGATGGGTGGGATATTGCCAATCGTTGACCATTAAAAACCAAACACTGCAATGAACACCCACATGCACTTATTTTCCCAAGATAAATTTTGCCTGGAAGTGGGCTGACTGGTTCAAAAGATGTACACCTTTTTTTAGAGCTTTTGATATATGCAGTATGGACTTCCACACCTAAGGGAAACACATCCCCTGCTGACTTAATTCAAAGCTTAGGAGGTCAGGGTTCTCAACCTCTCCCCCGAGGCAAGCCCAATAAAGATGTCTAATGAGCAATAAACCAGGGCCCCTGGCTGGCCATGCCCTCACTCGTAGCTTTCCTGGCTCTTGTTTATGGCCAGATTATCACAGACCTGACTATAAGGTTTGCAAGGGCAACTAGAACAACTCACATAGAGAGGTGAGTCTGGGCCCAGCCCGGAGGCCTGTCCAGCCCGGCAGTAGAAAAGGGAGCAGGAAGGAAGACCCAACCCTGGAACGGATGTTCACAGCAGAGGAAACTCAATCCCGAAGCTCGATTCAACACAACACACAGCATGATGCCGGCTAGATTCACAAAGATGTGCACACAACATGCTCCCTCTTTAGGGAGGCTGAGAAGTGCATATTGCATTTCAGAAAGAAGAAAAAAAGATTCCTCCAAGTACAAACAGATTTCTGGAAGAATTAGCTTATTTTGGCCCAAGAGCTGCCTTATGTGCAAAGCTCAAACCCTAGGAAGGTGTGATCATGTCTCTCCTCAGCTCTAAAATAAATGGCTCTCACCATCCATTGCTTTGGGCAAGGTATTCCAGGGCCTGCCAAAAATAACTAACTTGGTCTATACTACAGGCCCTGTCTCCTCTCCCGGATTCCCATTGGGGTTCCATGACTTGAGTGTCTTTTCCACTTATTCCTTCTCCGTGGACAGCTTTTTACGCACGGCACAAGTTCTGTTTGCCCAACTCCCACCCATCTTTTTAGAGCATTGTCAGGGACACCTCTTCCAAGAAGCCCATGCTAATTTCCCAGGCCAAAGTCACTTCCAACCATCCTTGGCAACGTAGCTGGCCCTAATGCCCTGTATCAGAATTAAAGCTGAGGTTCTTCTTTTAAGATTTAGAACCCCCCCCTAGCTCACCCAGGGCATACAGCCCTCTATTCTGAGTTCTCCTTCCCCAAACCTAGTTGGCGCCCAGCACAGGCACAGGGAAGGCAAAATGGGACAGTGCTAGGTTCCCTAGAGGTGGGAGGCAGTCCAGGTGGGACACAAGTCGGTCGTAGGTTAACACTTAGGATGCTCTGATGGCCAGGTACAGCATGAAGCCGCTGCGAATGACACCGTGCTCAAGGCGTGTCCTTCTGATTCTCCTGGTGTCTTCCCGCGAAGACCGAGACTGTCTCTGCCTAGTGCTACCGTGACTTAAACACTTAATGTTTCCATTATGTGATAATACCCCAATTTAATAAAAACAACCCCAAGCTCAGACCATATCTAGCTGCAGCATATTTTAAAATATTATTTTAGTTTCATTGTATTTAATTTTACTGTTATTTTCTATTTAAGACAAGTGACACTAGCTTACTATTTACAAGAGATTTTCACAAAAGTTCTTTAAAAAAATTTATTTGACTTTAGGAAAAGCAAAAAGTTGACGAATAAAAGAATAAAATAAAATAATAAAAAGTCCACGCAGGGGTTGTGTGGATACGGTAAAAGGCCATGAGGCTAGAAATCACCAGTAATATCAAAGAATATAGAATCGAAGTCAAAACATGAAGATGCAAGCTCTCAGGGAGCTTTCTTTCTTAAGGCTAACAAGCCAGAGACTGCTTTCTGGGCCTTCACAGCTAGAAACATGGTCATGTGATCCAGCTCTGACCAAAAAGACATAAGAGGAAACAGCTAGATTCGCAGTGAAGCATTTGCTTTGCTAATAAAAACAGGTGGATGCGGCTTACAGTGCTCCCTCCCTTCTTCCTACCTGGAACAGAGATGTGATGCCTGGAGCCAAGGCAACCATGTTGAGACCAAAGATCACAAGCACTATTTTAAGGACAGTGGCATGAAAAAGACCTTAACACCGCTGAGCCACTGCATTAACTCTGAACCACTCCCCTCTAGATTTTTGTTGTTGTTGTTGTTGTGGTTATGTAAAGAATAAAAATGTACCTATTGAAGCCAAGTCTCTACTGCAGGAATTTGAGAGACAGTGATTCCAGGGAGTCTACCCTTACCTACTTTCAAACTGTATCTGGTTTGGCTAAGCAGATGTCATTCGCGAGGCCAGCCTAGCATCTGGTATGTGCCTGTCACCTACACAAGCCTTATTAACAACAGAGGAAGTGCCAAAAACAATGTAAACACCAGAGAGTATCCCCCAAAACCAGGGTACAAGAAAAGCCTGAAAGGCCTGTCAGGACCAAAGCTGGGTCCTCAGGGATGTCGTCAGTCTCAAGTCTGTCTCTCTGGCTGCTACGTGGCACCCACCCCACCCCACGCCCGCCAGCCATTCTGTCTGCGTCACGTGCATGCCGTCCACATCAATAAACCTGCAGTGACACCTGACATGGCCTCTCCCGGTTTTCCCAGGAGGATAACTGTGCCTCCCATACCCTTCAGGCAACCAACCGACTCTGAGTCCTCCTGGGCCAGCTTCCCAGCACCCCTGTAAACCTGTCAGGGCCTGGCACTGCCAGCCCCAGGGCACACCAGACAGGCCCCAGTCCTGGCACAGAACCTGGGCCTCTGTGCACTTGAAGACATATACCTGGCCCAGCTACCAAGAAGACACCCCAATGAGCTGTTCCAAGTTTGGTCAATTGCTTGGTCCTCCAGCCTCTTGAGAGCTGGGGCCTGGGAAAGTGTAGTATTAATAATTACCATCGTCAAATCGCTAACACTAATTGAGCACTGATTTGGTGCCAGATGGCACCGTGAATGCATTTCTCCACTTGATCCACCCTCTGAGGTGGGGTGCATGATGAGGTCCCACTTTATGGATGAAGACAACAAGGCCTGGGAGGTTGAGCAATTTGCCCAAGGAGTGGAGTCAGGATTTGAACTCAGGCAGCCTCACTCCCCCACCTATCCTGTTAATCCTTGCAGTGTCAACAACTGTTGTGCTATTAGGTGATGCTGTGTGCTGGGCACTGTGCCAAGGACTCTACATGCATAATTTTTGTCAATCCCTTCAAAGACCTCCTGGGGTTTAGACTAGTATTAGCCCCATTTTACAGGTAAGAAAACTGAGGCTTCAAAGGCAAGGTGATCTGCTGAGGTCAACTGCTTAGTAAGCTAGCAGACCTGGGACACCTGTACTCAGGCTGTCTGTCTCCGGAGTATGTGCTCTCTGCCAATCGGCCATTCACCCCCACTGCCTGGCACTGGGCTGGCCTGGCTCAGAGCAGGTTTCTAGCCAACACTGGCGGACAGAATGCTTTTGTTTTTGTGTTTTTTTAATTTTTCATGAGAGACATAGAAAGAGAGGCAGAGACACAGTCAGAGGGAGAAGCAGTTTCCCTGTGGGGAGCCCGATGCGGGACTCGATCTCAGGACCCCAGGATCACACCCTGAGCCAAAGGCTGACACTCAACCGCTGAGTCACACAGGTGTCCCCACTTGTTCTTGAAGCACAGTCTAATGGGGGAAGCAGACATGGCCACGGGCTTTGAGGTGACATTGAGGCCCAACGGGACAAAGAGCTTACAGAGACAAAATAATGCTCCCCCACAAGACATCCACGCCCTAACCCCCAAAACCAATGAATCTGTTACCTTACCAGTAGGTGGGACTTTACAGGTGTGACTAAATGAAGGCTCTTGAGATGGAGAAGGTTACCCTGGATTATCTGGATGGATCCAGTGTCATGACAAGGGTCCCTGTAAAAGGGAGGCAAGAAGGTCAGTTCAGAGAGAGAAAATGTGATGAAAAAAACAGATCGGGGCACCTGGGTGGCTCAGCCAGTTAAACGTTTGCTTTCAGCTCAGGTTGTGATCCCAGAGTCCTGAGATCAAGCCCCATATTTGGGCTCCCTGCTCAGCACAGAGTCTGGTTCTCCCTCTCCCTCTGCCCCTCCCCTTGCTCATGCTCTGTATCTCTCTCAAATAAACAAAATCTTTAAAAAAAAAAATAGATCAAGGTGATGCAGGACCACAAGCCAAGGCTGCAGCAGCTTCTGGAAGCTGGAAACGGCAAGGACAGAGCCTCCAAAAGGAATGCACCTCTGATGACCCATTTTAGACTTCTGACTTCCAAAATTGTAAAGTAATAAACTTGTTAAGGTTATAAACTTGTTGCAGCCACTGAACCGTGGTCAATTGTTACAGTGGTCGTAGGAAACTCATACAAAACTTAACTCAGCTGAAGAGAAAGAGAGGTGAGGGCTTCCTGGAGGAGGCAGGATGCAGCTGAGTGGCTACCTGAATAACCCCAAAGCCCCAGCCTCCATCAGGTTCTCTGGGTTGCTCATAGTATGACACTTGCCATGTGGCTACTGACATTTAAATTTCAATTAGTTAAGGGGTGCGTGGTAAGTAGTAGGAGGAGGAGGAGGAGTAGGAGTAGGAGTAGGAGTAGGAGTAGGAGTAGGAGTAGGAGTAGGAGTAGTAGCTGCTGAGAGTCTGCCTTTGGCTCCGGCGGTGATCCCGGGGTCCTGGGATACAGTCCTGCATTGGGCTTCCCGCAGGGAGCCTGCTTCTCCTTCTGCCTCTGTCTCTGCCTCTCTCTGTGTGTCTCTTATGAATAAATACATAAAATCTTTTAATAAATAAGTAAATTTTAATTAGTTAAAACCAAATGCAATTTTGAACCTAGCACTTCAGTTGCACTAGGTCTGTTTTAAGTGCTCAACAGGCTTGGGGGACCAGTGGATGACACTCAAAGTTCTACTGGACAGCTCTGCACACTCCCAATATCCAGCTGTGTAAACTGAGGCTCGGAGGGGGTGAGACCCACAGGCAAGCTGGCACTCAGTCCCCTGGAGCTAACTTCATCCTCAGCATTTTCAATGACTGGCTGACTGCCCCCGTCCCAGGCCCAGCCTTTTTAACTGAACCCCAAATCACCCACCAGTTGTAAGAAGTCACAACCCTTAGCATCGCTGAGAACAGTTTATTTTGACTCGTCCCTCGGCCCTTAAACGCAGGGTGCACCACGAGGAGGGCGGAGGAGAGGCCCCAGTTAATAAAAGGTTCTTCTTCGCACAGGCTCCAGGGAATGAAGTGACTCATGGTGGGGCCCAGATCATTTGTGGTTTGGACAGAGGAGTGCCACGTGTTCCAGTGATCGACCATGAGCCAGCCCTCGACCCCCCAAATCCATCATCTTTATTCACTGGCAACACGGGGCACCAAGGAAGTCTCTACCAGCGGGGCCAGAAGGACCAGATAGAGACGTCAGGGTAACACGGTTCAATTTCTAAGGTAACGTCTGCTGCTCACAAGGAATTCTTTAGGAGTCACTGAATGACAAACATAATGAGTTATAATGAGGACAATCAACTCTTTCACACTTTCAGCTCAAGGCAGTCACAAAGGGTTTCAGAGAAACTCTTTTTACTTAGTTACAATTTCTACATTTCACACGATGAGGATCACAACCAACTCGTTTCTATTTACTGACCATGAGGCTGGGTTCCTGGGAAACGTGCCACAGGCACACACTCATTTCTCCCAGCAACCTCGGCGGCAGGGAGCATTTTACCTTTTTACAGATGAGCAAACCGAGGCTCTGGGACACTGATGAAGAAGCCCACTCTCTTGCTTCCTCTGCTGTGCTGCCTTCTGAGAAAAATCAGTGTGGACGCGAGAGAAAACAGGCACATTCAAGAAACCCTGAATCACTGAAAGCACAAAGCGGAAGAGATAAAGTTACTGACCGTTTACGAATGTCAGAGGGCCCAAAGCGTTCCGAGGAGGGTGCAGCATGCACCTTCACCTTCTACTGCTTCCCCACCCACAGCCCTGGATGCACAGGGCTGCCTATGGAAGATGCCGGCTGGAGGGCTTGGTTTCCAGTCGTGGGGTCTCACTTGGCCAACAGGCAGCACAGGTCAGAAGTGCCAGTGAGTCAATGCCCCAGAAGGTCAGCCCACCACCAAAAGCGGAAGGAACAGGTATATCAATACCCCAGCTCCCTCCCTTCTCTGGCGGAAAACTCTGAGGTTCTATAGTCTTGATCACACACCCTATGTGAGTCTCCTTGTCTTCCCTGTATTACCTCCATGGGTACCCCCGCCCATAAGAATCACACTCATCATCACACCCCTGCCTCAGCGGGGAGCCCAACCAGAAGCACCCAAGGGTGCTCAGCATCCCTGCCTTGCCTGGTGGTTGCCAATGGTAAGGAGCTGCACCCTCACCCCAACCAAGTTGCCAAACACTTCCTGGGTGCTTGGGGGAAAAAAAAATCCAAAGTGATTCTCTTCCTGGATCCTTAAACCACGGCACCTCACTAACACTGAGTCCAGATATGAGAAGACCCTCCTTGGAACGCCCAGGTGGGGCTCAGTGGTTGAGCATCTGCCATTGGCTCAGGTCATGATCCTGGAGTCCTGGGATCGAGTCCCACATCAGGCTCCCTGAATGGAGCCTGCTTCTCCCCCTGCCTGTGTCTCTGCCTCTCTCTGCGTGTCTCTCATGAGCAAATAAATAAAATCTTAAAAAAAAAAAAAAGAGCCTGCTTGATTTTTAGTACAGGAAAATGGGAAAGAGGTGTGTCCATGCCAGAGAGGAGAATGATTTTCCTAACCCAGAGGTGGGACACACACCAGTCAGAATTCCAACTAGAACCGGGGTTCTCATTTGCTTCGACGTGGATGGAACTGGAGGGTATTATGCTGAGTGAAATAAGTCAATCAGAGAAGGACAAACATGATATGGTCTCATTCATTTGGGGAATATAAAAAAATAGTGAAAGGGAATAAAGGGGAAAGAAGAAAAAATGAGTGATAAATATCAGAAAGGGAGACAGAACATGAGAGACTCCTAACTCTGGGAAACGAACTAGGGGTGGTAGAAAGGGAAGGGGGTGGGGGTGACGGGCAGTGAGGGGGTCCCTTGATGGGATGAGCACTGAGTGTTATTCTATATGTTGGCAAATTGAACACCAATAAAAAATAAATTAAAAAAAAAAAGAACCCGGGGTTCCTGATTCATAATGTAATTTTTATGTATATATAAAAACATATATAAAACTATATATAACTATGCGTTGCTTATTATATCTAATCTGGTGATGTATGTTACTATCTACATTACATGTATTTATATGTACTATATATTTTATATAATATACAAGTCTATACTTATTTATATGACACAGAAATTGCTTTGGCCCAAGGGTTCTATAAATGAAGGACCTTCCAGCTACAGGAATCCTGAGTGAGCTGCCCACAGGATGACACAGCAGGCATGATCTGAAAACTATCATCTACTTGGACCTGGAATACACACATGCACACACACACAGAAAAAGGTCTCCAATGACCAATAAGCATATGAAAAGATGCTCAGCCTCATTGGTCCCTGGGGATGCAAAACTATAATCACAATGACAAACTACCCCCAGATCCACCAAAATGGCCAAAATTACAAAGACTGGCATTGGCAAGTCAAGGATGCAGAAGTGGAACTGATTTTAAACCGGCACAAATACTTTGGTAGAGTCCACTGAAGCCAATTTACACCTAACACACGGCTGGTACTTACCCAACAGAAATGAGTGCTTGGTTCACAAAGGACGCGCACACGGATGCTCCTCGCTGCTTCATTCATAATAGCCAAAGCCGAAACCACGTAACTGCCCATCAACAGTAGACTGGATAAAGAACTACTAGCATATTCCTATGATGGAATGAAATACAGCAGTGAAAAAAACCAAACTACTGTGACAGGCAAAACACGGACAGCAATCACAGACATCAGGTGAGCAAAACAACCAGAACCCAAAGCGGTATGTGCGTCAAAGCGCACTTGTATGAAGTTCAGGAAATATCCAAAGCCTCCTCGAGGTAACTGAAAGAAGAACAGCATTAATAACCTTTGAGGAGGGGATGCCTGGGTGGCTCAGTGGTTGAGAGTCTGCCTTCGGCTCAGGGCGTGATCCCGGGGTCCTGGGATCGAGTCCCATATCGGGTTCCCCGCAGGGAGCCTGCTTCTCCCTCTGCCAGTGTCTCTGCCTCTCTCTGTGTGTCTCTCGTGGATAAATAAATAAAATCTTAAAACAAAAATAGCCTTTGACGATTATTAACTAAAAGCGGTATAAGGAAGCTTTCTGGGGGCTTAGGAATGTTCTATATCTTGATAGGAGTGGTGGTTACAAGTTACATACATATACAAACATACACATACTTAAGGTTTGCTACTATCCCTGAGAACAAAGCCTAAACTTCCAGAGGCCCCAGGTGCTCACCAAATAAAGCCACACCCCCCAGCACAGCTCCGAATGATCTGCCCCTGTGCCCCAGGGACTTCACCTCTTGCCAAATGCTCCCCACCTTCTTTCCTCGCTCCAGACTCATTCATCCTAGAAACCGTTTGCCTTGATACGGAGGGAGTCAGGATCTAGAAAGAAATCCACCCTCCGAAGGGAAAGAGACCCACAGGGATTTGCCAATCACCTCCCTTCTTCCTGAGTGATGTCAGTACCCACGTGTGCTAACTCAGCAACAGCTCCCTGATGAGATGCCTCTTCCTCCAGGAAGCCTTCCCTGACCTCACCGCCCCCCACCCCCGCCCCAGGTAGGATTGCCAAAACTTTCTGCTTCTTGGTGACACTGGCCCCTGTTTTAAGCCTGTTCTATTTGTCTGCCTTGCTCCCTCCTGTTGTGCTCCCTGGTTTACTGCCAGAGCCTAGCAAGTCGCCTGGCACTAAGAGGTACACAATAAATATCTGCTGAAACACAGGGATGTTTGAATGAGAAAATGAGTGTTTTGAGGGAGGATAAGAATGGGATGGAGTAGTGATTCTGTGCAACTACCTCGGCGTACAGAAGGTGAAATTTGGGCCCAGAGAGGGCAAGTGGCTTACATAAAGTCACACAGCCAGTTAGGGACAAATCCAGCATCGAACCTCCAGGAGACACTGCTGTACCGTCCTCCTACCAGGTCCCCTGTCCTGGTGCTGCACCCTTCTCTCACCTACTATGAGGGCTGTCTGCTAATAGTACACAGGTACACGTTTTTCCAGGAGAGCTATCCTCCAACAGGCTGGCCCACAACCCTGCCTATAAGCCCCCCACAAACCAGGGCATCCATAGCCAACAACAGACTGATATAGGACACAAAAGCCTGTGTACCCTTGCTTCCAGGCAGGATTTGTTCTGTGGCTCCAGAGCTCCCTGGGGAATCAGGCTAAAGCTAAACCTGGCTGAGGTCACACCCCCTCCTCTGCCCTCTTCAGCTTCACTCACCCCCCTTCTGAGAGTTCAGCCCCAGTCAGTGTCTTCCTCAATGTGCATCTCCAGCTCTGCTTCTTGGGACCCCTCCCTGAGACAGAACCTAAGCCTTTGTCTGGGGCCCAGGAGGAGGCACTGCCTCCTGAATGATGTCTATAATGTATGACAATGCCAGAGATGACCTCTAGACATGCCAGGTGCCCAGCCTAAAGAGAAGCAGCATCCATAAGGTGTGGGTGTGCATGAGAGTGTGGGGGAGGCTTTACCCTCTGCTTCCAAAGCCCTTTATCCTTATCTCTAGAAGACACGCAAAAGGACCCCACCTGAACAACTTTGCTTTCCAGTCACCAACAGCAAAGCTTTAAAATGTCCTAGAGTCTAGAGAGTGCCCTCCAACAAGATATCCTGGCCACACTTCAGCTCTTAGAACAGCCACCTTGGGGACACCTGGGTGGCTCAGTGGTTGAACGTTTGCCGTTGGCTTAGGACGTGATCCCCAAGTCCTGGAATTGAGTCCTACATCGGGCTTCATGCATGAAGCCCCCTTCTCCCTCTGCCAGTGTCTCTGCCTCTCTCTGTGTGTCTCTTATGAATACAAAAAAAAAGAACAGCCACCTGGGTCCAGGGCAGGGGAGTCGGATCCCCATGAGTCATTGTGAGCCCCTCCCCCAAAGGCAACTTACCAGGCCAGGTTATAGAAAACACTATACAATCTCCTAAATTTGGATAAACACCACCTGCTCTCAGTTCTCCCAGACCCTGCTTTTTGCCCAGCATAATCACCAGTTATTAAGAGCTCAGAGGATGCCGTGTTTGGGGGATAGCATGCAGGACTGCCAGCCAGGAGCTCCTGGTCTCCTTGCCCTGTCTGTGGCCTTCTGTATGACCGTTCAGAGCGTGGACTTCTGGAATCAACCAGCTGGGCACCCAATGGGGTCCCAACCTCTCCTAGCTGTGTGACCTTGGGCCAGTCGCTCCACCTCTCTGAGCTTCAGCTGCCTCATCTATAATACGCAACCAAGGCTTTGTACTTCACATGCTTTTGTGAGGATTAATTGAGATCACATGTGCAAAGTGCACGTGCACAACATCTGTGGTCACCGCACGTGTCAATGACTGTTCTTGTCAACAGTGTTATTATTATTAATCATTTAGACTAGGAGGAGGTGGGAGCTTGTAGAATTAGTCCACTGGATTTCTGCACGGGTGCAGGAAAGCTGCGGGAAGCAGGAGGAGAGACAGGCTTTGTGCAGCATCACAAACAATACAAGGAAGCAAAGATGCCTGGAAAGTGTATACAGCAAGCGCTCAATATACAGGCACTGTTCAGGACCTCTCTGGTTCAAAGATCCTTTTATATTCAAGTGGCAACTTTGTGCAAACAGCCGCGGACGCGCGGCGAAACAGGTGGTCTCTCCCGGTCACAGCCTCTGAGCACAGGCCGCCGAGCTTCACCTGAGCCTCTGTCGGCCTCAGTCGCCCTCGGTCACCCTCGGCTGCCCTGTGCCTGTCAGCCACCAAGGGAAGAGCCTGCCGCATCACAGCAGATGCTCATGGAGCCTCTTGGAGCCTCACCTAAATCTACTCTGCACAGGTGCCAGCTTTCTGCCGGCGGTTGTGACAATTTAAGGGTGTGTTTATAGTCTCCCCAATGTTCCCAGTGGCCCACAGGGGTAACCGGCTCATTAGCATATCCTAATGGTGTATCACCACCCAAATAAACCACTTCCCCTCGCACCATTCACTCAGGCCCTGCTTCTGGGGGAGCTCAGCTTAAGACACCTCTCCTTCGTAGAATCTGACTCATGAGATGGGACCTGTTCAGGACACCCGTTCTCCCGTAGGGTGTCTGACACGCTGGTGAGACATACCCCATTGTGAAATGGGTCCACCTGACTACCAAGAATGACTACCAAGACCATCTGAGGTTCTACCGTTTGCACTGGCTGTTTCAAAGTTGCTCTTTTAGAGATTTCGTCAAAAAGTGACCCAGGGCTTGGTGATGGGGCCACAGTGAAGAACTTAAAAGTTGGGGGTCACCGTTAACACTAGGTGATCAAGGAAGGCTTCCTGGAGGAGGTAACATTTCAGCTGCATGACCCAAAGGATCACAGGGAGCCAGCCATGGGAAGACCAAGGGGGTCCAGAATCCGAAAAGAGCTCAAGAACAGAAATTTCTGCTAGCAGGGCTAGAGCAGAGTGGAGGGAAGTGGTGTGGCCAGATCTTCTAAGGCTTTGAGATGCTGTGAGATTGCATCTGGGGCTCTAACGGAATCACCTTCCTCTCTCTGCCTCCCCTGCACTCTGATCCGCCTTCCCTTCCCAAGCAGGGAGGGGGAGGGTGGAGTTACCTCCCACCTGCCAAGAGCCTCCTGGGGGAGGGCGGCTCACATGTCACATCCTCCATCCTGTGCGTCCAGGTGAGACCTGCTGGCTTCAAGGCAGGGAGAAGGAGAGGCGGGGAGAGCTGCTTCTATATCGGCACCTGGCAAGTGGGCATCCGAGCCGAGCCGGAGGAGAGCTGCCAGGAGCAGTTCACAGCACGCACGCTCAAGTTCAAACCCCGCCTTTTTGAACCTGGGCAAGTGTCTTGTCTTCCTCACCTGTCACATGGGCTAATAATCCTACCTACTTCCAAAAGCAGCAGAGGGATTTGCTAAGAACACACGTAAGGGCGCCTGGGGGGCTCAGAAGTTGAGCATCTGCCTTCAGCTCAGGGTGAGGCCCCAGAGTCCCGGGATCGAGTCCCGCATCAGGTGCCCCGTAGGGAGCCTGCTTCTCCCTCTGCCTGTGTCTCTGCCTCTCTCTGGTCTCTCATGAATAAATAAATAAAATCTTTAAAAAAGAACATACATGTAAAAGCACTCAGCATCGTGTATGTTTTTACTGATCCCCACCCCCACCCCACACCAGGCACAGTACTTGGGGGCCAAGAGACAGCTGGGAACAAGACAGGGTGGCTTGGGCGCTGCAGGGAAGACACGTGGCGCTGACACGGGTCAGTAATACCAAAGACAAGACGAGATCCTCCATGCGCAGTTAGGGGCGCCCCTCACTCGGAGACACTGTCCCCCTAGAAGCCCAGAGCCTCCAGCCGGGACACGAACCCTGCGGGCTACGACCCCTGTCTCCCGGCAGACACCCGAGCATGGGCACCCTTAGCGAGTCCAGCTCTTTAGGGGGCCCGCAACTGCGTCAGGGTCCCGGGCCTGGCCGCCACCCCACCCCCCCTGGCAACATCCCTAAACCCCAAAGACGGCCTCTGGGGAGCTTAGCGGCGGGCGCGGTCAGGGACGCCCAGGAGGGAGGGTGGTGTCTGCGGTGCCTGCACGAATCCTGTCCCGTCCTGCCTGGGCTGCCGGGGCCCAGCAGACCCAGGTCTAGACCCGCTGCGGCCACGTGGCCGGCCAAGCAGGGGGCAGGGGGCGGGTGGAGGTGGGAGTGGGCAAGGGGAGCAGGGCGGAGCCGGGAGGAGCCACCCCACCACCCCACGATTGCCTCCAGCTGGCAGACAGCTCTGGACAGAGGTTAGGCCGGACCCCTCGCCATCACCCAGCCGTCACCAGCCGTCACCCAGCCGTCACCCAGCCGTCACCCAGCCGTCACCCAGCGTCACCCAGCCGTCACCCAGCGACTACAGGTTACTGTTGAGAAAGCAGGAAACGGAGGCTTATGGAGATTAAGTGCCTGTCCGAGGTCACACATCTTGCCAAATTCCAGAGGCCAAAAGGCTGAATCACTGGCAGGAATAAAGAGAGGGGACAATCCTGAAAACGCAGAGGGACGGGGCCTCAAAGCCAGCCCGAAAGAAGGCGCTGCCTGGGCCAGCCCCACAGCAAGGCGGTATGACGGCATGGCCAACGGGAGACCTGTGACTTTGGCTGTGTGTCCTTAGCCTCAGTTTCCCCACCTGGCACAAAAGGGCCCAGCACACTGCCTGGTAGAGCCACTCTCCCGGGCCCTTCCCACAGGGGACGAGGGGACACCTGGCATCCAGGCTGCCACAGCAGTCAGAGGCCAGCACACCTGAAGCTGCCCCCAGCAAGGCCGAGTCACCATGGGGTCACCATGACCCCACCCCTCAAGGAAGGGCCAGGCGGGGAACCAGCCAGGGCCCGCTGAGCCACACCTGCTGACACCCAGGAGTGGCCCGTTCACCCTGGGGCCGGGCTGGAGGCAGCAGTTCTGTAGGCCAAGCCCGATGTGCACCGCCCACCCCGCCCCCAGGACTGCTGCTGGTGTGCGCACA